GAGAGGTGCACGTCAGTGACGGCGACGGCCACGGCGATGGGCTATGCGTCAGCGCCGTAGCCTACGCCAGTGTTTGACGCAGAAGTATAAATCAGCCTTGACTCGTGCAGTTCATGGAGCTTGCATTCCGTGANATGGCTAAGCGCTTGCTCCTAAAGCCTGGTTTATACTTCTGCGTCAGGTGACCGGCGTAACCCACGGCGCATGCAACGCGCGTGGCTGTGCATTTATACTTCTGCGCGCTGTCTCTGTCGGTCTGCATTAACACTTCCGAAACGCTAGTTGGCAGTGAGGTGTAAATGTTCCTCTGTGTCGAGTTTCTTCGCTGCATTTTTGCTTTTCCTGAACACTTCCGGGATGTATAAGTGGCTCAAACTCGCTCATTTTGAGGCAGGAACCGGCGGACGTGCAACAACTTTAACTATGAGGTAAACACAAAACAAAACTTTCCATCCGGAGCTCCTTCACGGAACTCCACACTTGTAAACAATCGCTCGCGCGGCGTTGCGCCATTCGCGCGGCTCTCGGTCCCGCCCAGACTCGTCATCGCTACCAAGCCGACCAATCACAGAGCTTACGCTACGCGTCGTTGCGACGTGTAGTTACATTTTTTGAGAGGTGCACGTCAGCGACGGCGATGGCCACGGCGAAGGGCTATGCGTCAGCGTCGTAGCATACGCCGGTGTTTGACGCAGAAGTATAAATCAGCCTTAAATGTGTAACTGCAGATGTGTGTGTGTGTGTGTGTCCTCAGGCCGTGTGTTGGGAGTGATGGCGTCTCCATTTGTGCCGGTCCCGGTACCCATAGAGCGCCCCCCGCGGGCTGACAGGAGCACCTCGTCCTACACTCCGCCGGGTCAGAGTCCAGTGACCCGCGCCAGGCTGAGTGGGCCGGAGCCCTCAGTGGAGTACTGCAGCTGCCCCCGCCCTGACGGCCTGCCAGACACACCCGACACACCCCGGCCCGCCACGCCCACTGTCCTGGGCTATGAGGTCATGGAGGAGCGCGCAAAGTTCACTGTGAGTTCAGTGTGGGGTCAGCGTGGGGTCACTGCACACTGGCTTCTGATAGGCCAGTAGCAGCTTTGAGAAGAGTCTGTAACACTTAAAGGGCTGCAGTTTAAAGCTGGTCTGAGATCAGGCAGACGCCGCGTCACTGATCGTACAGTTACTGATGCTTACGAGCCTTTCAGAACATCTTTAGGCCTCACAAAGCCGTGTGTACAGTTTAAGGGGAGAGATGATGAGTGTGTGTGTGTGTGTGTGTGTGCTGCAGGTCTACAAGGTGCTGGTCAGGAAGAATGTGGACGAGAGCTGGGTGGTGTTCCGGCGCTACACAGACTTCTCCAGACTCAATGATAAGGTCAGTATTGGGTCAACGGTGACAGTATTGGGTCAGTGTTGGTCCGGGTCCTCATCTGGCCTCTCTCCGCAGCTGAAGGACATGTTCCCCGGGTTCAGGCTTTCTCTTCCTCCTAAGCGCTGGTTTAAGGACAACTATGAGACGGAGTTCCTGGAGGAGCGACAGCTGGGCCTGCAGACCTTTCTCCAGAACCTGGTGGCCCATAAAGACATCGCCAGCTGGTGAGCGACCCACTGATCCCTGTATGAGTGTGTGTGTGTGTGTGTATTTTTGTTTGTGTGTGTTTGTGTGTGTGTAATGCCTCTGTGTTCTTCAGTGTGGCCGTTCGAGAGTTCCTGTGTCTGGACGATCCCCCCGGCCCCTTCGACAGTCTGGAGGAGAGTCGGGTGAGTGACGACTGTGTTTATAGATGAGGACTGTGTTTATAGATGACGGCTGTGTTTATATATGACGGCTGTGTTTATATATGACGGCTGTGTTTATATATGACGGCTGTGTTTATAGATGAGGACTGTGTTTATAGATGAGGACTGTGTTTATAGATGAGGACTGTGTTTATAGATGAGGACTGTGTTTATAGATGAGGACTGTGTTTATAGATGAGGACTGTGTTTATAGATGAGGACTGTGTTTATAGATGACGGCTGTGTTTATAGATGACGGCTGTGTTTATAGATGAGGACTGTGTTTATAGATGAGGACTGTGTTTATAGATGAGGACTGTGTTTATAGATGGGGACTGTGTTTATAGATGACGGCTGTGTTTATTGATGAAGACTGTGTTTATAGATGAGGACTGTGTTTATAGATGAGGACTGTGTTTATAGATGGGGACTGTGTTTATATATGACGGCTGTGTTTATTGATGAAGACTGTGTTTATAGATGAGGACTGTGTTTATTTATGATGGCTGTGTTTATTGATGAAGACTGTGTTTATAGATGAGGACTGTGTTTATTTATGACAGCTGTGTTTATAGATGAGGACAGTGTTTATAGATGGGGACTGTGTTTATATATGACGGCTGTGTTTATTGATGAAGACTGTGTTTATAGATGGGGACTGTGTTTATATATGACGGCTGTGTTTATAGATGAGGACTGTGTTTATAGATGACGGCTGTGTTTATAGATGACGGCTGTGTTTATAGATGAGGACTGTGTTTATAGATGAGGACTGTGTTTATAGATGAGGACTGTGTTTATAGATGAGGACTGTGTTTATAGATGAGGACTGTGTTTATAGATGAGGACTGTGTTTATAGATGAGGACTGTGTTTATAGATGAAGACTGTGTTTATAGATGAGGACTGTGTTTATAGATGAGGACTGTGTTTATAGATGAGGACTGTGTTTATAGATGAGGACTGTGTTTATAGATGAGGACTGTGTTTATAGATGAGGACTGTGTTTATAGATGAGGACTGTGTTTATAGATGAGGACTGTGTTTATAGATGAGGACTGTGTTTATAGATGAGGACTGTGTTTATAGATGAGGACTGTGTTTATAGATGGGGACTGTGTTTATAGATGAGGACAGTGTTTATAGATGGGGACTGTGTTTATATATGACGGCTGTGTTTATAGATGAGGACTGTGTTTATAGATGAGGACTGTGTTTATAGATGAGGACTGTGTTTATAGATGAGGACTGTGTTTATAGATGAGGACTGTGTTTATAGATGAGGACTGTGTTTATAGATGAGGACTGTGTTTATAGATGAAGACTGTGTTTATAGATGAGGACTGTGTTTATATATGACGGCTGTGTTTATAGATGAGGACTGTGTTTATAGATGGGGACTGTGTTTATATATGACGGCTGTGTTTATAGATGAGGACAGTGTTTATAGATGGGGACTGTGTTTATATATGACGGCTGTGTTTATAGATGAGGACTGTGTTTATAGATGAGGACTGTGTTTATAGATGGGGACTGTGTTTATAGATGAGGACTGTGTTTATAGATGAGGACTGTGTTTATATATGACGGCTGTGTTTATAGATGAGGACTGTGTTTATAGATGAGGACTGTGTTTATAGATGGGGACTGTGTTTATAGATGAGGACTGTGTTTATAGATGAGGACTGTGTTTATAGATGGGGACTGTGTTTATATATGACGGCTGTGTTTATAGATGAGGACAGTGTTTATAGATGGGGACTGTGTTTATATATGACGGCTGTGTTTATAGATGAGGACTGTGTTTATAGATGAGGACTGTGTTTATAGATGGGGACTGTGTTTATAGATGAGGACTGTGTTTATAGATGAGGACTGTGTTTATATATGACGGCTGTGTTTATAGATGAGGACTGTGTTTATAGATGAGGACTGTGTTTATAGATGGGGACTGTGTTTATAGATGAGGACTGTGTTTATAGATGAGGACTGTGTTTATATATGACGGCTGTGTTTATTGATGAAGACTGTGTTTATAGATTGGGACTGTGTTTGTTGAACATCAGCAGCTTTAGCAGGTGTGTGTGTGTGTGTGTGTCTGGTAGGCGTTCTGCGAGACACTCGAGGAGTGTAACTACAGGCTTCAGAAGGAGCTTCTGGAAAAGCAGCGAGAGATAAACAGCCTGAAGGAGACGCTGGAGGAGAAAGAGCTGCAGATTCAGAAGCTGGAGGAGCGAATCAGGTAATGTGAACACCACAACAGCCCTGCACACCCATACCCCGACTGACTGTGTGTGTGTGTGTGTGTGTGTGTGTGTGTGCGCAGCGGGCCGCTCCTCACCCCGGACAGCACGTGTTGTGTGTCAGATGTGGAATCCTCCGCTGCTGAAGCTGATCAGGAGCTGCTGGACGACGGCCTGTGAGTGCCTCCTGTTATCTGTTTACTGTATTGTGTCCTCCACACTGAGCAGCGTCTGCACTGATGCTCCCCTTCTGTCTGATGATGAGCGACTCCTACACCAGCTGATTTACATCTGCTCTGTCTGACCGTCTGATGGAGCTGTGAAGCGTCAGTCTGCTCTCTGCAGCTCTTAGACCCCGCCCCTCACTCATCTGCATACACGTCTGAGACACGCCCACATACAAACATCCAACCAACAGCAGGAGCCAAGTCCCGCCCTGCATGTTGATCTTTCTC